GCTCGCATGCTCCTCACTCCATGCAGGCGACCTCTTCCGACGTGCATGGCGACCTCTTCCGACGTGCATGGCGCATGCAAAGCTTCATCCTCTCACCACAGCTCGTAGCAAAGCTTCATCCTCTTGTCACATCTCGTATAGAACACTTTTGTCGTGATTTCATTGCTGCATGCATGAGGGAGACAGGGGTGAGGGAGGCAGAGCCACCTTTGTCGTGATTTCAGCAGAATCACGGAGGAGTTCGAGCCGCTTGCATGGCGACCTACAAGGTCGCACCGAGTGTATGGCGACCTATGATCTCGTTTGGCTTGCATGGCGACCAATCCATGCACTGTATAATTCACACCATTTGAACAATTATTTCTTGGACAGCATTATCACGTGAATTGTTTTTTTTTTCACAGCAATATCTCGTGAGTTTTGCCGTTATTCTGTTTGTAATTAATTACTTTATAGAGTAGCATTATAAATGTGTAATTACACTTGTACAGAAATATATGATGAATATACAATTTATTAAATCTTAACATGGTATCAGTTAGTTTTGGGTTTTTTCTCTTGGGCCTGTGCCTTTCTTTCACGTTTTTGGGCTGCTCTGGTTTTTTAATCCCTAATTGCTAGGCAGCATAAATTAATATAATTAAATAATCGTATAAAATATTATATATGAAAATATATGTATGTATAAATAATTTAACGAAAAATCATATAAAATATTTAAGATAATATTTGAAAAATAAAAGAGATAATATTTAAAAGTCGAATAAACTTTAAAGATGTAATGACCTCCTTATAGCTTAACCAGTAATTAGTGTATTAGGTAAGAATCTGGAGACCAACACAATATAGAATGTTATTAATGATTCATAATTGTAATTATATAAGTACATGTTCTGATTGTTACATTCATGCCTTTGTTTAGTTTATAAATGGCAGTGAAACAAAAAGAACATAAAAACAAACTGATAAAAATAAATAAATTCACTGGCACGTGAATAACGAATTGAGATGTAAATGAGAAGAGACAGATCGCGAGCTACTTCAGATCGATTCGGTCAAGACTCGATATATACTCAGATCGAATGAACTCGACTCGAGCTCGACTCGAATTCTTAACGAGCTGAAACAAACTACTTGATACTCGACTCGAAAAACTCGTGAGAAGCTCGAAAATATAATATATTAAAATTTTATTTTTTAAATAAATTATTAATAGTATTAACATTTATGTGTTGATTTTTTTGAAAAATTACAGTAATATTTTCATGTATTTAAGGTTCATGTTCGAGTTTGAGTTTGAGGCTTCAATCTAGTTAAGTTTAAGATTTTTTTTTTCATTTCGAGCCTTTTCGAGCTGCTCACGAGTTTCGGTTCAAGATTTCGAGTTCGAGTCGAATTTAAAAATTTTAAGCTCGCGAGTTTTCGAGTCGAGTTGAACTCCATTTCAGAGTTTTCGAGTTGAGTCAAACTCAGCAATAGTCAAACTCGACCCGACTAGTTTACACCCTAATTTACACCCTACACTGTCCTGAATCCTGACAGGGAATCCACCTTTCATTTTCGATGTCAGAAAAACAATAAACGACGGCTGGAACCCATCCTCCATCGCCGGCACCGCCTTGAACCGCCTTAGAACGCCAGCCACCACCCTTTTCATCTGCAGAAACGCCATCTCCCTCCCCAGACAAATCCTGGGTCCCGCCTGGAACACCGGATAAGTGTAATGATCTCCCAACAAAGCTCCATTTCCCTTCCTCGTCTCTCTGCAACCATCGCTCCGGATTGAACTCCGCCCAATCAGATCCCCATATCATCTCCATCCTCCCCATCGCGTAAGGATGATACGTCACCACTGACCCTTTCTTCACCACAGTTCCGTCCGGCAAAACATCGTCGTCCACAGCCCTCTTTCCGTCCACCGGAACCGGAGGGTACAGTCTCATGGTCTCGCAGAGACAAGCATGTGTGTAAACCATGTCTTTAACTTCCTCAAACACCGGCATATCGGATTTCCCTTTGATTTCTTTGAGAATCTCTTTTTCAACTTCAGGGTTCTGGGATAATAACCAGAAAAACCATGTCAGGGCCGCCGACGTCGTGTCACGGCCGGCGAGTATGAAGCTGATGACAATATCCGTAGCGAAATTCTCGTCCGTGTGGCCCGAACACAAAAACCTCGATAAAAGATCAACAGATTCCAAAGACGATTTATCGGCCAGTTCCTGTTTCTTTTCCCTTACAATCTTCATCGCGAAGTCACGGACTCGAGCGACCGCAATCCTCAGTCTTTTCTCCGATCCCACCTCGAAAAACCGCTTGATTTTCCAAGATAAACTAGAAAGAGCGCGGAACCTTCTGCTACTGATATTAGTAGCATCTTCAAACGCTTCGGCAAACTCCGCCGACGGTAACGATGGAGAAAGACATGCTGGGTCAAACCCGAAAGCGATTTTGCAAACGTTGTCAAAAGCGAATCTCTGAAGAATCTCTTGCAAGTCAAGCACGGTCTTATCAACAGTAGCATCAGAAAACATCGGAATCAGACGGTCGTTAAGTTCTGTATCAACAACGGTTTGAATGAATTTACGAAGAGACTTGGTGTTGAACTCGTGGCTTGCAACTTGTCTCTGAAACTTCCAGGACTCACCGTCGACGTTGAAGATTCCGTTGCCGAGAAAATCGAAGAGACCGCTGTAAGAGACGGGGCCTTTCTGGTAGTTGGAGAAGCGAGTCTTGAGCATGTGCTTGACATTAGCGGGATTCGCCGTGAAAATATGACGGCGACCAAATAAAAGGTTGAAGGTGAAAGTTCCAGAGGGAGAGCTCTGGAGGATTTGCGTAGTCCATTGCACCCGATCTTCTCGATGGGATTTGACGACCAAGGAAGAACCGATTACTGGATAAGATTTTGGGAAAATTGAAGGTGGAGTTGTTTTTCTGGATTTCGATGATTTAGTGATGATCTTGAAGATAAAAACTGGGAAAATGACGATAAACAATAAAGTAAGTAGCTGAATCAACATCTTTGTTTGATATGATTCTCAAAATGATATGTTTTATTTATAGCCCGAAATTTTTAATTCGTGTTTAAATTAATTAATTTTAAATATGTTATTATATGAAGATTTTATCAAACAAATAATTAGCACTATCAAATTATGTACATGATTGCCTGCACGCAAAAAGTAAGAACGTACAGGATCTGAAAAGCCTTTATGAAGGTGAGAAGAATAAATCAATTTTGTAACCAGCTTTGTTTTGTTCATACCAACGTGCATGATCTGGAAAGCCTTTATGTTTTGAATAAAATTTCGTCACGAATAATGTACGGCTGGGATTTGTATATATTATATCCTACATATATGGAATTAGAGTGCACAACAACTACATGGTCTTCAAATGTTGACCGTAAGTCCCTGTAGGGTGACGAACAACCTTACGCCGCTAAACACAAGTGTCAACAAACAAAGAACAAAATCAAGGCGGTCAACGGATGATACAACGAGTCGAGTAGAGTTTGAGTATTGTTAAAATTGACTTGATTGAAAAATTTTAAAATAGGACTTGATTCAACTTAAAAGCTCTTGAGTATATATATTCTTGCTACACTCAAACATGAAAACGTGAACCAGAACTCGTAAAAGTTTGAAATAACTTGAAATTAAAAAAAATCTTTAACTTAGTTCAATTGAAACCTCAAATTCAAAACTCGAACCTTAAATATATGAAAACCTTATATTATATTTTTTTAAAACCAACATATAAATGTCAATATTATTAATATTTTTTAAAAATAATCTTAATATATTATATTTTCAAGGTGCTTGCGGGCTTTTCGAGTCAAGTATCAAGTAGTTTGTTTTAACTCTTTAAGAATCTGAGTCGAGTATTTATTGAGCTTTGATCGAGTCGATCTCGAGTAGCTCACGAATTGTCTCATCTCATTTACAGCCCTATGCATGGTACTTGAACCCGACAAGTTCCAACCTGACTCGACCATGTCAGATTTTTAATAAAAATTGGGGCCGGGTCAGGTTTTTTAGAGGTTATATTCGTATCGGATTCGGGTTCAGGTTTAGAGTGAAAATATCCAACTCGACCTGAAAAAAAATTGTAAATTTACCTTATATAATTAGATATAATTACAATAATATCTCTTTATATATCATTTCTTTAATTAAATTCCTATTTTTATTGAAAAAAATAATATTTTTAATAAATATATTATTTTGCGTCGGTTGAGTCAAATTTAGATTTTATCTTGAAAAGACAGGTCGAATTCAAATCGAATAAATAATATATATTTTTCGAATTAAATTCAAATTAAATGAATAATATATGATTTTCGAATCGAGTTGGATGTACATAAAACTCGAGACATACCCATCCCTGGACCCCATGTGCGGAAGTGCATGAAGAGGCAAAATCAAACACTCCTTCCGAGATTTTCTTGATATGGTAAAAGTACAAACTTTTTACGATTGCACTTTGATACAAAATGAGAAAAGAGATGTGTATGAGAGAGCAAACTATGTATTAGACATCGATATATATATATATATAGCAATTATAGGATGGCACCAAGTGAATGGACAAAAAATATCCTTCAACTATTTATATTTTATATTGGGATTTTATCAATTTACAATTAAACTTAAAAAATGGTAGAAGAAAACAAAAACAAAAGGATCACCTCAGTTTACAACTTAACCACACAAGTGTTGCAAAAAAAATTACCCCAAATATACAAAGTGTCAACCAGTAAAAAAGCAAGAATCCCCAACAAGACACAAGGAAGAAACAAGAGGCATTTTTTACTGTTTTATTCCCATATCTGATCACCCTGAGCTGCTGCCTTGTATGCAAACTCATGCATTTCTGCTTGTGGCTAGTTACCCTCAATCTGGGATGCATCTGAAATACGGTAAAAAAAATATTCAACTACGAAGTTTAGGGTTAAAATGCATACCTTTTGCAATGGAACACAGTACACACAGAGCTCATAGAACAGACGAGTTCAGGGTCTTTAACCCAATTTCCTTCACTTCTCGTAATAGAAGAAGGATCTCTTGAATTAAAACCAGCCCCTCTTTTCCGTTCTTAATATAATTAAATGAACGATGAAGAAAACTACAGTCTGCCTCTAGTGCTTCCAACCTCTCATGGAGCTCTGCAATTTCAATTTCAAGATCTTCCAACCCATTTCCTATACAATCTTCACCATCAGAAACCGTTTCACCATTTTCCTTGCTGACCACTTCATCTTTTCTTGTTGAAGTACTTGAACTCTCTCGAGAAGGACCGGTTCGATTAGCCTTCGACGAAGCATTATGCTCTTGTTTATGATCCTTTTCGTCGTCGGAGTGTTCGCTATTCGAATTTTCTTGTGGAGCCCCATACTGAGCAAGCCTGCTAAGTTTCTTCTCCAACTTTTGCAACAACTGAGAGATGAACGACTTCTCGTCTTTGATTTCCGACCATGCGGTTATGACTACAGGTTGATCGTCGACTACGCAAGCCTCGGGGAATTCTGGTTCTATGGTATTACTCTTCATATCATTTTGCTCGGAACATGTGGTTGTATGCACCGTAGGAACATGTGGTTCGGCCTCCTCAGGTATTTCATGAGGGAAGTTCAATCTGTAATAATCAAGCTCTGCTTCAAGATCTTGTAATTCTTTCTCCTTATCGGTAAGAAGATCGTTAGCTTTCTCCAAGGCATCACTGTCGTATTCGGCTTGTTGTTCCATCATCCTCAGGTACTGCAGGGCCTCCATGCGGAGAGACGCTTTCTCTTCTTGCAACCTTGTGATCATGGCCATTGCCTGATTTGCAGCAATTGCTGAAGCATTTCTTTCTTCGTCTAATTCCTTGGATAATGCATCTATGTACTCCCGGGCATCCTCAACTTGTCGATTAAGCGTATCGACTAGACTTTCACCTTCAATGACTCTGCTTTCATCGAAAGGTTCGAGGCCGGGGGATTCACTTATTGCCTCGATGAATAGGTTCTGAAGATTACGAACCTCAACAGAAATGGAATCAGTTCTCAGCAATTGAACTGCACGATCTTGTAACTCAGGACTTAAATAGTTCAACGATAATGGATTCCCTTCTCCCGAAGAATTCTGCGCCGGCAATGACTTAAGATCTTCATTAACCACATTATTTTCAGCAGCAAATTCTGATGCACTTTTCTCTTCACCACTGACAGGCAGCATCGGGACCAAACTCGGATCCCCGTCAGTTGATTTCACGGTGGTAGCATCATCTACAACTTGATCATTTTCGAGACCAGTTCGCGTTTCATTGCTTATCAGCTTCGAGATTTCACCGTTCTTGCTGAGAGAAATATGTTCAATTTTAGTTGCTGGTGATGACTTACGATCTCCATTAGCACCATTAGTGCAAGCTAGCATACATTTGCTAACAAACTCGGGCGCAGTTCGGTCTCTATCAGTTGAATTTAGCCTTGATGTATCATTCACAACTCGACCAGTTTCGAAACGAGCTCCGGTCGATGTGTTCATCACCTTCATGGTTTCATTGTTGTTATTGACAGAAATATTCTCAGTTTTACTTGATGCAGAATCACCTGCCATTTCCCGATTTTAAAGTCATAATAACATAAGACCTACAAAAACACACAGAAAAAGAAAGAAAGGAAGAGAGCTTACAATTATCTGAATTTTTTTCAAGAGGAACAATCTTAGCTTTAACCGAATTCGATGTATCAACCAGAGAAACAAAATCAGGCAGTGATGAGGAATTGAAGCTTGGTTCCATAAGGCCAGATGAAGCATCAAGTGAAATAAGCTCAGGCAGTCCATTTGAATTTGCCTTCTCTTTATTCTCTCTCTCTGGAGCTAAACAGCTGACATTAACACCCCGAGATTCAATAGCATTGAGCTGTCTTTTAGGCTCTTTCTCATTTAAATCACAAACTTTTCTGTTGCCATCGTGATTATCTGCGGACCGAAACCTGGATTTCGATTTGGAAGTGATCTTCAGCTCAGTGTCTCCTACATGAGATGCTGCAGAAGCACAACACTTATTGCTCATCTTCTTCAATTCACTAGGACTTAAGGTACATGGAAATGGAATGTTCCGATTGGCATCAGCCATGCCATGGGAACCTGCTCTTGAAACCCAAGGTTTACCGCAGCATAGGCACAACCTTATGCCTTGATTGAGAACCGAGCTTCGGGAACCGCAATTCCCCTCATACCCCAATTTTCCTGCAAAGAGTCTCTGCATATCCGAGTTCGATTCGATTCCCTCGAAGCGTGACGAGAGACAATCGTCACACATACCGCGGCCATCGACAAGCTTATCATGGATGTTGCAGGAAAGCAAGAACGAAAGCTTCGATCTATGGTTGCGGCAAAACAGAGTCCTGTAATATCCATCTTTTACCTTGCCGAAAACATGATCGAGCCGCGAGCATATAATGCAAGGAATTTGCAGCTCGCAGTGTCGTGCAAAACTGGTGAGCATGTAAGAAAAGGCAGCATCAACGAACAGAAGAAAGATGAGAATCCATTCACAAGCAGCATAATTCAGGACCCTTATAAACCGCTTCAAATTCCTATGTAATCCGGGAAATGATGAAGCACCGGTTGCAGTCATTTTCCAGAAAAGAAAACCTATCGAGATAAATGCAGAATAAAATGCATAAGATACTAAAAAAAATACATCAAACACAAAGAATATCCAATTAAATTGGAATCAAATTCCTAAGATCTAACCTATAATCAATGTAATAGAAAGAACCCTACATGAATGACAGAACCCAATCCTGGGAATCTATTGACACAGACATTATAATACCTCGAAAACCATGCATGTTTTGATTAAAAGATGAAGAACACCTTACCTGAATTTTTCAACGACGATGATCTATGTTATTGAGATTCGGGATCACAGTGTCAGACATATACATATATATGTATGTTAATATATATATCCGACACAGGTAATCTGTGATTGTTATTATATTTAGAAAAACGTTACCATATCACTGTATCAGAATGAGATTATACAAAAAATCCAACTCAGAGATGATTAACAACGAAGAAGAAGGAAAAAAAGGAAATGGAAAGTACTTATGTCCGGGAAAAAATGATTGACCGCTGAAACCAACTGTTATGATTTGCCTAGGTTCCAAATTAAGAAAAGCTTTAATCTTACATTCTGATTTCATACTTTAATTATATTTAAGCCTTCACCACGTCATCGTATATTAAGATGGATAGAAGGAGAGCGGGCGAAAGACGACCCTTTAAAATTTTTAAATTATCATATATTTTAAATATTTTTATTGTTGATTTATTCTCATCCGTGAACTTTTATAAATTCATCTTTTAAAGTTAAAAATTTTACTCCCTTAAGATAAAATCATACATATGTATGAAATATGTCATAAAATTTCACTCCCTTCGCCCAAACTTTTAGATTATAAATTCGATTTATCTCGAAGTACAAAATAAAGACTTAATTAAAATAATAATAGAGACATGCGATATTATAACAATTATCCACTCATTTATTTTAAAAATTACACTATTATTTTTTGGTCGAGTCTGAGATTTTTTATTTTCCACTTGAATCCGACTAATTCCGACCTCATTCTTTTATAGAATTGGACCTAACTTGACTCAAATTTAATTTTCTAAAAATAATTCCAACCCTGTTTAATGAGATCATATCAAAATCTATTAATTTCTGATTAAATTGTATCCCTATTACGTTGTAAATGACGAATAAATTGCTTGAGCTATATATATATATATATATATATATGTCACATCAATAATCCAGGGGCCCGCGTATTATGCGGCAAACCGAAAGAGAAGCAGTGAAGCGAAAATCAATATAAAAGAGGGTGGGATGACCTAAATACCCTCATAAAATAAGCTAAACCCTACTTCACTTGCCTGCTAAAAGAAATCAATCAAATCCCCAAAAGTCCCCTCTGCCCGGTTTTCCCCTTTTAACCCTAAACCCCCCGCCAACTCTCTCTCTTTCAAATTCCTTCTCAATTTACATGCCCCCAATTCCCCTGCCACTTCCTTTCATTCTCTATCTCTTCTTCTTCTCCTCTTCTGGTTTACTCTTAATTGACCTATTGAAACTTTTTCAACTTTTTTTCGTGGTTTTAACTTCTTCTTTTTTGCAGGTTCTCTTGAGAGTTATCTTCCGGTGAGTGTTTTTCTTTGTTGAAAACCAGAGACTTCTAATACTGAAATCCCAATGCTGCTTTCTTTTTTTCTTTTATAATTTGTTTTGGGCACTTTGAAAGCATTGGAAATTTGAACTCTGTTTCTCTTTTCTTTTGTTTATAACCTTTATTTGATGTGAAGTGTGTTGTTGTTCGTGAGGGCCCCACGTTTGGGTTTTTGTTGTGTTTGATAAAAGACCAAACCGAAAGCAATTTGCTTTCTTTTTGTTCTTTTATTTGTTTGCCCATAAAAAATTACATTTCTGTTTCTCTTATGTCGTTTTCTTTCTACTTTATCAATGAGTTTTTTTGAAAGAAAAATCTTGTCAATTGGGGCATCTTGCAATGAATTTCGAGGGACAAAATTAGCTGTAGGTTGAATCTGTTGTGATTTTCAATAGAATAGGTACTTGATTTTTCCATGAAGTTTCATTAAAGAGCAATTTAATGTGTTTGTAAATGTTGTTATTTGTATTGATTCTACAGCCTCTGGGTTCCCATAAATTTATGGCTTTATATCATGTTTAGATCGAAACACTAATGCTAGTTCCCTTTTTCAGTAAAATAATTGTTTACTTGCTAATATTATTACATCAACAGGTTCTGTTTGAGACCAAACCAGTGTCAGAATAGAGCTTCCACTCTGGTTGTTGGTTGCTGATTTGCTAAGAATTTTAAAGGGTGGGGTATCGGATCCTTAACTTATGGCGAACCGCGACTTGTTGATCGGAAAAAATCAAGATTTTTCGTTGCGGCAGAATCAGTATGTGGAAATAGGGCGTAATGCTAACTTTGTTCATAGTCGTAATCATGATTTAGTACGTGCAGAGCAGATCCATGATGTTGATTTGGAAATTAGACCAACTCATGATCATGATCATAAGATAGAAACTTCTCAGACACACACGGATGATGTAGCTCTATCCCATGATAATGCTCATATTTTTTTTGAGAATGGGTTCGATGTGGATCAGATTGACTACCCTGGTGCGGAGGAAGATCATGCTGGTGTTGAGAAACATGATGATCAATTTGCTGATGTCGTTGAGCATCATGAATTTGGTTTGCATGATGGTACTGAGTTGACCCTTGTGAAGAGCCAGGATCTTTCGGATATGCTGCTAAATCAGGAAATGAGTATGGAACCATTATCATACGTCTTTTCTCAACCAGTGCATGGGATAGTTGATGCTCCCGTGCTTCAGCAACGAATGTCAGTTATGGTGGCGAACCATGAATTGATTGTTGGCAAAGAGTTCCGTGATGTCCACAGCTGTAGGAGAGCCCTAAGAGATGCAGCTATTGCTCTTCACTTTGAAATGCAAACGATAAAGTCCGACAAGACTCGTTTTACTGCCAAGTGTGCAAGTGAGGGGTGCCCTTGGAGAATACATGCAGCAAAACTTCCCGGTGTTCCTACTTTCACAATTAGAACCATCCATAATGAACATACTTGTGCAGGGATTACTCATCTTGGTCATCAACAAGCTTCGGTTCAGTGGGTTGCAGATGTTGTCGCAGAAAGCATCAAGGAAAATCCTCATTATAAACCGAAGGAGATATTGGAAGAGATTCACCGTGTTCACGGAATTGCTTTATCATACAAACAAGCATGGAGGGGCAAGGAACGCATAATGGCCACTGTGCGTGGCAATTTCGAGGAAGATTATCGCCTCCTCCCGCAATATTGTGATATGATCAAAAGAACAAATCCTGGAAGCATTGCGACGGTTTACGCGGATCCGGTTGATAACTGTTTTCAATTCCTTTTCGTTTCATTTCAAGCATCCATTTATGGTTTTCTGAATGCATGCCGACCTCTTATTGGACTCGATAAGACTATATTGAAAAGCAAGTACACGGGGAGCTTACTTTTTGCCTTTGGTTTCGATGGAGATGGTGCTGTATTCCCTCTTGCATTCGGGGTGGTCAACGAGGAAAATGATGCCAATTGGATGAGGTTCCTAGCTGAGTTGCACCATCTGTTTGAGATTAATGCAGAGAACATGCCAAGGCTTACCATCTTGTCTGATAGACAACAGGGTGTTGTAGATGCTGTGGAAGCAAACTTCCCAGCAGCATTTCATGGGTTCAGCATGCATCATCTCGTTGAAAGTTTCCAGAAGGAGTTCAACAGTTCTTTGCTTACCAACCTTTTCTGGGAGGCTGCTTATGCTCTCACTTGCATTGATTTCGAAAAAAGACTCATTGAGATTCAAGCAATGTCACCAGAAGCGGCTGCTTGGATTCAAAATGTTCCTCCTCGTTTTTGGGCAACAGCGTATTTCGAAGGGACAAGGATGGGACTCCTGTCAGCCAACATATTGGAAAGTTTAAGTGCTTGGATAGCAGAAGCCTCTAGCCTTCCAATAATTCAAATGATGGAGTGCATCCGTCGGCAACTCATGACTTGTTTCAACGAGCGACGCGAGACTAGCATGCAGTGGGCAAGTGATCTCATTCCTCCTGCAGAAAGGCTTGTATCGGAAGCCTATGAGCAGGCATGTACTTACCAAGTGTTCAAAGCAAATGAATCTGAATTCGAGGTTCATTCCCCCGGTGAAGGTGCATCTGTAGTAGATATTAGAACCCGAAGCTGTTATTGTCGTGGATGGGATCTGACTGGACTCCCTTGTGCTCATGCCATTGCAGCTCTCCTATCTTGTAGACAAAATATGCGCAAGTTTACAGAAAGTTGTTTCACAGTGGCAAATTACCGTAAGGCGTACTCGCAGACAATACACCCTGTTCCTGATAAAGCCCTTTGGGAAGAGATGCCTGAACAGTTTCGAAATGGAAATAACTATGCCGATGTCATTATAAAACCACCCAAGTTGCTTGAGCAGCCAGTGAGACCTAAAAAGAGGAGAGCCCTTACCGGGAATGTCGGTCGGGCGAAAAGGATGGTGCATTGCAGTCGCTGCAATCAAACTGGACATTTCAGAACTACTTGTACAGCACCTATATAGAAACTCATTTTTCAAGTTCTTTTTACTGTGCAAAAGAGATCAAATAGTTTTTTAGTTTTAATTTTTTTTTAGAGCTGCTATTGCCAGCTCTACTTTAGGAAAGCACAGATAGATAAAAAGTCCATGTTTATAGATACATTTGTTCTTTATTAAGAAGGAATAGTTCTTTATATGGTTTTTATTATCTCACGACTTCTGGATTGAATACGTAAATATGAATGACTGAATGTGTTATACAATATTTAAATCTATCATGTCAGTCTTGTCGTTACTGATTTAACGACGGGTAATTTGATTGAAATCAAAATGGAAGTTTAGCTACCGACAATTTTTATCTAGGGATCAGAATAGAATCGAGTTCATTGTTTAGTGACCAATAGTGTAGTTTACGGATGCATGCATGCAATTGCAACACCTAGGGGCTGGTAATACACATCCTCCATTTTCAGTCCCAAAAATAATACATTAAAGCTTCAATGGATCGTATTGAGCGAAATTATCTACCGTAATATAAATAGAAAAAGGAAGTTGAGAATACGGGAGATGAATGCCTTTAGGGCGAAGCAAGAAATCATCAGATTATTACATGTGTCAGTGCTTGATCTTCACCATCTAAATGAACACATATAAAGGATTAAAATTTGCAGCTTCAACCTAGAGTAATGGCAATTTTGTTTCTCGCATCGGGGTTCTCTTCAAACCCCGAAGAAAATTCTGGTTTTTGTCATGCACAAAACATGCATAAAGGTAAATTCTCATTCAAAAGATTAATGCATCTATGAATATATATGTATGTATGTATGTATGTATGTGTGAATGTTTTATTCCATAGCTTTTTGCGTTTGTGTTGTTCAGATCATGAAAATCATAGCAGCCCACCCACTTTCACACAGATCATGATTGCCACTTCCATCGGCATCATCATTGCAGTAGCGTTGAAGTTTCATCTTCGGAAGCTAAGGGATCAAAAGATCATCCCGAAGCTACGATCGCGGGACAAAGGCGGCCGTCACATCGATAAGGTCGAACGCTTCCCTCACTACGTAGGTAAATAATTTCTTTGTCTATTTATATGAACCTCTATGGATCATTCATCACATTTTTGTTTCATGCATCTCGAGTCCCGAACCTTGATTTTGTTTAATATTTCAGCCAGGCAGATGGGATTCAATGATAGAAGAGAATGCCCTTTGCTCTGCAAGTTGGCAGCGGAATACATCAGGAAATTAGAAGGTTGTGAGGAGGATATATATACATTCTTCTCCAGCGAACTCGATGTCAATTCGCTTTTCGTTAAGCTTGTGGAGGAATTCGAGAGATGCATTCTTAGTTATTTTGCATTCCATTGGGGGCATGCAGATCTTATGATTGCCCAGGTAATGATCAAGATCAATACATGATGTGTTTTTCTAAATTGTAAATGTGGGAACAAGTAGGAAAAATTAATTGCTTTCTGATTCATTGTTTCAGGTATTAAGTTCTGATGCTGAACCCAAGAGAAAGCTCAAGCAGATTTTCATGGCAGCAACTAGGTTGGACATTAAATTATTACTTTACCTATTCATTGCTGGCAGGGAGAATAAATCATGCCTTTTTTAATATAGGGAACAGAGATTTGAGAGGGTGACAAAGAATCTGAAAGTGGCAAGAGTTTTCACTACATTGGTGGAAGAAATGAAAGCAATGGGGCTTACGTCGACCGACGACTCTCAATGTACGGAAGTGATGGCTCCGGTGGCTCATAGCGATAGAAGTCCGGTGTTGCTTCTCATGGGAGGTGGGATGGGAGCTGGGAAGAGCACTGTGCTTAAAGACATCCTCAAAGAGTAAGCCCTTTGCCATGTATTTCTGTCAAGTAGATGTTCATAATTTCGTATGAAATGAAGTGGGAAATATGACCGGGACCAGGGTTTTAAAAAATGGTCCGCGATCGTGATTTCGTCCGCGATATAGCGGTTTCGCCGCCGTCCGAGTTACCCGCGACGGCTGCAATCACGGTAAACCCGAAATAACCGAAAACACGACCGCGACCGCGATTTGAAACCCTGACCGGGACTAAATTGTATGAGCAGACCGTTCTGGGCAGGAGCAGCAGGGAATGCGGTCGTGATCGAAGCCGATGCATTCAAAGAATCAGATGTTATCTACAGAGCCCTCAGCAAACGAGGTCATTCGGACATGGTCCATACAGCTGAATTGGTAGGATCCAATATCGGCACTAGCATTTTTTTTTATCGAATTGTTTTAATGATTTATCAGCACTATCCGAACAGGTGCACCAATCATCTACAGATGCAGCATCATCCCTTCTAGTGACTGCGCTCAATGAAGGGCGCGATGTGATCATGGATGGAACATTGTCCTGGATACCATTCGTTTTGCAGACAATAACCATGGCCCGATGTGTTCATCGTCGCAGATATCGCATGGGTGCCGGTTACAAGAAAAACACTGATGGGACCATAATCGAGAACTATTGGGAACAACTCGAAGAAGAACAAGTTCTGGAAGGAGGCAAAAGGAGGAAACCATACAGAATAGAGCTGGTTGGAGTTGTTTGTGAAGCTTATTTAGCAGTTATTAGAGGCATAAGGTACGACACACGGTGGTCGAAAACATTTTCCCCCCTTTCACAATGAGATATACTGATTCCGTAATCAAATCCGATATATACATACAGGAGAGCTATAATGTGTAGACGAGCCGTAAGGGTGCATTCACAATTGAAATCCCACAAGAGATTCGCAAATGCATTTCCAACATATTGCCAATTGGTTGACAATGCTAGACTATATAGCACCAATGCCTTGGAAGGTCCACCTAAGGTGAATTCACTTATATCACACTCAATTTTTTCCTTAGGCACTTAAGAATGTGGAGACATTGACTTCAACAATGACCGTGAAGTTGATAGGATGGAAAGACAAAGACAGGACGTTGCTAGTCGATCCCGACGAGATCGGCTGCCTAAAGAGGATAGGCAGGCTGAAGGAAAACGCGGATTCAATATACGAACTTTACAGGTATCCTAACCCGGCTTGTCAAACCGGTTCGATTTGGAAAGACATTGTACTATCACCCTCAAGATTAAACATTCAGCTGGAGCTGAAGTATACCATCCAGAGAGTGGAAATGACGACTAATGCGAATTTAAACTAATGAATGCGTGTAAACTCACAGGAATTGCAGGCTCAAGATTATGTCAAAAATCTCATACCTTTTGCTACATAAGTTGTATGACCAAGAGATGTTTGCCTTGGATGAAAGATGTAAATTTACTGTTACAAGCTTAGCCAAGTTTAGACTATGAAACTTCCCATTGACTGTTTCAAATAATCTGTGCTAGAATCAGTAGGTGTGGCTTATTGGGAACCCTGGAAGGAATTTATAAATTTTACGAGATAAGACAAGAGCAATCAGAGCTGTACTTTGGAGATAAATCTTTCCCAAGTTCACGGTTCAGTTTTATGCAGACTAATTGAAACTTAAGATGGAGCCAAATACGAATTCTGGATTTTGGAACTATTTATGGTTGATTCATGGATAAAAAGATAACTGGAAATATAGAATGCGAGAATCAAGAGAATTCTCATAATACAATCAACTGAAAATTATATCTAAATCTGTTCCCAACAATCCTCAACGAAATCAGAAACTTACTAAAAAACTATAGGAAGGAAATAAAGAAGGGTTTAAAAAGGAAAAGATTACGATCCCATGTTCAACTGCACTAATTTACAACACCTCCCCTACCGACTCCAATCTCATTTCTTTCCCCTAGCCGACGGAGCTCTCCCCGGAGTGGCTTTCTTCGCCGGTGACTTAATGCTCTTTGGCTTTACACTCTTCGCCTGAGATTTTTTAGATGCGGCGGCCTTCTTCCCTGGAGACGTCCTTGTTGAAGTTCTAGAAGCTTTGGCTGGCTTCTTCGCAGGCTTGGGCTTAGACTTGCTCGCAGCTTTCGGCTTCGCTGCCGCTGCGGCCTTTGTCTTTGTGGTAGTAGATTTAGCCTTAGCGGGAGCCTTCGGTTTAGCCGCCACTTTGGACTTCGGCTTCGAAGCAGCTTTTGTCTTTGCTGGAGCTTTAGAAGCTGGTTTAGCACTCTTCGCGGACTTCGCAGGAGGTTTCGACTTGGCCTTAATGGCTGCCGGCTTCTTCTTCGCCGGAGCAGAAGCAGTTGTCTCCGTCTTCGAAGGCCTCGCCGACGGAAGCTTAAATGAACTTTTAACCTTAACCAATTTCCCTGCAGCAACTAGCTTCTTCAAATGGAAGAGCAAAAGCTTCCTGAAATTTCCAGGAAGATTCTTCTGTTTCTCTTCAATGAATTTAGTAATAGCGTACTGACTTGAACCGGTCCTCTCTTTCAAACTAACGATCGCATCTTTGATCATCTGCATCAAATCAAATCAAATCAAATCAATCAGATATCAACACACGAACAGATCTCAAACAACAAGCAACACGAGATCAAACAAACAATAAACAAAGCTTTTCAAATTCGAATCACGCAAATACCTCTTCATAAGAAGGATGAGCAGCAGGAGCTCGAGGCTTCTTAGAAGCTGGTGCCTTCTTGGCTTTAGGCTCTTTGGCTTTCTTTGCCTTGCCCGGTTTCGATTTCGTATCAGCTGGCTTGTCTTCCGCTGGTTCGGCAGCGACCTCAACCACGACAGTTGCATCTTCTTCAGTGGCCATCGAAGCAGTAAGGACGCGTAATTAGGGTTTCGAAGAATGGGAAATTTCTTTGGATCTAATCTCTATGGACCTGAAATTCCGTGTTGTGAGGAATGTAACGGAAATGAAGGGGTTTAAATAGTCAGGTGTGAGGGAGACGGTATCCGTAAGGTGAAATATGATTGGTTGCAACAACTAGCACGCGGATCACAATCTTTCGCAGAATTTAAATAAAAGCCGTTGGATTAACGCCTTTATCCACGGTTGAAGACATGAAGAATTGAAGGAAAGGGGAAGAAATTGATGTTTTGAGTAGTTGATGTGTGTTTTTGGTATCAATTGATTTTAGCATAACTTGAGCTATAGTTGATGGAATTTTATGAGGTTTTTACCATTATGTAGGTTATTCTATAAGCTTTCTAATGAATATATTTTTTTAATATTTTGAGTAATTATTTTGGAAAAATTTTAATTTTGAATCTAAATTGGTCAAAATTACAGTTTACGACAATATTATTGTAGTTCTGGACGATTTCAGGAGGATGTTCAATATGAATCCAAATTTTTTCCATCACATTTGAAAATAGATTAACTAAGGAGTCTGACGCCTCAAGAATCTCGAAAATCGGATCAGAGTTTGGTAGAAAAATATTGATTGGAATGATGTCGAACTTGAACATGTCCTATTGATGTTCATGTGTGTCACAACTTACTACACATGTAACCTAATCCATAGAATAAATTTGAAGGATGAAATAAAAAAAAGCCGTGTAATACTCCATGAATACACTATACATGTTAATCACGAACATAAAATGAATCAAATCGAATCAAAATTGTCAATGATTAATGCATAAACATGCTAAATCATGTTTATTCCAACTTGGGAAACATTTGCTTTGCATAGTCCATTGATGTAGTTTAGCATCTTGTTCCTTGCATCCAAGTTTTCGTATAACTAAAAATTAGTGATATCAAATCATCATATTACATGATTATCAAGCCAAAATGGCATGTTGGGGATAAATTGTTTGACTTAGTATGTCATCCATTCTTTGGTTGTAACATGGCGTCATATCAAATCAAAATGGCCTCTAAGAATGTTTCATTAAGCATGACATATATCTCAACTAATTTATATACGATTCTCAATCCTTATATGCTCTGTATGACATGGGATGCAAATACGCGACAATAGCATAGATTGTACGTCGAAACTTTTTAAAGAAACATATACACTGTTGTCGGTCAAATCGATTGTTATGTTAGTGTCATTACAAGATACATATGCTTTTAGTATATCATAAGAGGCCTTCAAATAGGATGACAAGCTATCCGGAGTATCCTCTAGAATAGAAGAGGGGTCTTCTTTTGAAGGACCTTCTGTTTTAGGACCCAGCTTGTGCCCAAAATATAAGGCTTCACACGTTTTTAGAAGTTTACCAAACCTTTCTCAGTAGGTTATATGGGATCAAATTATAATTCCTCAAAGGGAAAACCCCAAAAATGACGATGACTCCATTTAGGTGTACATGAGGAATCAAGTCTGGCTTGAAGTACGTGAAACAAGTTGTGCTCGAGCTTTTTTCGAACGTCCTCGAAGCATTGAAATCGAAAACTTTGTGACGAGTGATCTTTAAATCATCACAATCGAAACTTTCTCTCGATACATTTCCATCATCTTGTAGGTTGGAAGGCCTCCTCTTCTTCTTCGTTATCAATTAAAAACAAGTCTGGAGAAGAAAATCTCGTAAGAAAATTGTCAACAAAATACTACAATAGATCGGAAGTCCAAATATATGGATTAAAAAACATGTATCAAGTCCAAAATACTTGCCGAGAAGCGCACTAATGCGACCCAAACCACAGGGCCAACAAAATGGTCATCTTGTCAGGCTACAACAAACGAATCATCTCATCATACAATGGTTGAGTGTTTCATTCGACGTATAGGTGGCGGTTGCGCCTCTTATTTGTTATCCTATTGTTGAGTGGCATCCAAGTGACTGTGTGTTTCGTCAATTTGGTTTCACACAATTCGTTCTTGAAGCACCTGTAAATCTTGACAATATGCATAGAATTGATAGACGATGCAAACAAGGTGTTAATTGGGTGGTGAAGCACAGAGACTAGATAGCGATGTGGGAGAATCGATATCAATGAATTCCCGCTCGACAGTATATTTTGAAAATTGGTTTCCCAATTTCACATAATTATATTTCATGGTTCAATGAGAATAGGAAACAATTCATACTTTCTGAGTAAGCATGAGGTTGTGATATTCATCGTCGTCAAGAAAAACGTTCATCGACATAATATCATTGTTCCCGAACTAATCGTGGATGAAGAGTAGATGCTTCTGGCTCGTCTTCAGCAGCACCACGATATAGCTATCATGCTAATGATAAAAGCAAGCTCTCATATTTCTATTGAAGTGTTGATTTCCACTATATTATCACAATATGACTACAACATCTCCTACAGAAAAACGTGAAAGGCAAAACAGAATGTCATTATAAAACTTCACGGCGAGTAGGATTCTTCTAACAATGAACTACTAATTTAGTTTAACGTACTGCAAAAACTCAAACTTTGGACAATAGTTGAGTGGTATAAGATAAATGCCAATCCTATCGTATTTTTTGGACTTACTCACAGTGCATTAATGCGATGAAATACTACAAACCGGTGGTCTAAATTGATGGTACATTCTTGCGTGAAAAATAAAAGCAAGTTTTATTACTGGCAGTTGTCCAAGATGGTAACCGCAACATTCTTCTCGTTGCATTTGCCCTTGTTGATGGGGAAGATACAAAGTATTGAGCTTTTTTAAAAAAAAATTTAATTTACATGTTGTCGAGAGGGATGGTATATGCATCATTTTAGACCGTGGAGTTGGGATCAAGGTAACAATGGACTCTTTGGGTAGAATGTGGAAACCCCCACATGTCCAACACCGTTATTGTATTTGACATATTATTGCAAACTACCATGGAAAATTTATTTATTTATATGCATGAGTATGTTACTTTTTTTTCAATTTCATTTCTCAATTATTTCCATTTTATTTATTTATACTCGTCACTAACTAGTACATATGACTTAGGTTATGAACTCTTACCTTAAAGGTTTGAGTTCATGCTTCAAGAGTTGCAAGGAAAAAATGGCCAAAGCTAAAATTACAACAGAACCATTAACAAAGAAATGTGGTCAAATGCATATGATGATAATATCAATATGGTCATATGACAACCTACTTGGTTGAGGCTATCCATTCTACCTTAAAGGGGACGTGTTATTTACCTATAATTGTTTTGGTTAAAACGACATATTTTCGTTTGGGTAAGCTTTTTACAAAGCTCAGGAGAAAAGATTTTACTTGGATGCAAAACTATCATATTTATCACCCAAGATTAGTAACATATCTACATAAAAAAGTTACAACATCAAATGTAATGTTGGTAACAAATTTTTCTCACACCCATGAATTATTTCGTATGACAGAGATGCCATGACCTCTTCAAGAAATTGAATCCAACTCTTTCAAAGTGAATCTACAAGAAAAGTGGTGTGATTGTGATTTTTTTCAAGCTCTAAAGTATCAATGCTCCATGTCATAGTAGCTTGCTCACATTTCCATTTGGACTATAAAAGTTATGTTGACCTCATCTATCAGCTTTCGCAAGTATTCAAGGTATATAAATTTGAGTTTTCCCATAAATAATGAAAAAACCCCAAAAATGAGATTCAAACTTGGCTTACAATTATACCATATATATTTTTATTAAGGGAACAATGTTGTCCAAAATCTAATCGAATTCATTGTGATATAGATATTCGACAGATATCAAAAGAACCTAAAAGATGTGAGCATCATAGAAATCTAGACCATAATAGGAAAAATATTCATCTTTTATCATCTCTCAACTATTAATCATAACTATGTAATTGTATTTTCTGATATTAGAATTTATATTATTTTAATTTCTGGTATTATATCTTCAAGTCTTTTATTTTATGTAATTTTATTTCATATTTTGTCATATAAATATTCATGCTTTTATATATTTTATTTTAATTACAATTTACATTCTACAATTTAGGTCAATATTTTAGGGTTTTGATTTTATAAATTATGATTTTTTATTTAGGTTTGAATGATTAGACTTTAGGGTTAAGATTTAAGGTTAACGATTAACAATTTATAAGGTTTAACGTTTATAATTAAGGTTAATGATTATATTTTATAAGGTTTAACGTTAACCCCTAGACTCGGCCTGGACGTTATGCCCAAATCTAGGCGGTCACATATCGCACTCAAAAATTCTTTTTATATTTAAAACAACGTTAAAATCTATATAATAATATAATATGAAATTTATCCATAATAAGGATTCATACGATAAACATATATATATATATATAAGAAAATCGTATAAAACATTTACGGAACAAAATATCAGTAATAAAGATATATCAAGATGGTAACAAAACACGTGTCACCAAATTATAACAAATGAATATAGAGATATATAGTGGTACAAAAGTATGAGTAGACAATCCTCTTAATGCCAAGTCTGTTAGCCTAGTCTGTTATTATCTGAAAATGTTAAAATTTACGGAATGAGCTAAAAAGCTTAATGTGCTCCTTACGGTGTATAAAAACATACATATAAAGTATCTTAGTAAAAACATGAACACTACCCCCGTCAAATCACCATAATGTGTAGGTTCCTTAGAACCATACACCCACCAGTATACCAGTAAGGGCTTACCCTGTACACAAAGCAGATGAGCCTGCGGAAAGCAGTAATGTCTTACAAGTCAAAGACTAGGCCTGAGATACTTCCTTCAATAAAACCCCCAATGATAGAAATAACATATGTAGTCGAATGAAAATGGTAGTTTAATCCATTAAAACATGAAAACATTTCATTTTCAGAAATCAAATACGAAAAATGCGGTAATCCAGATATCATATTAGAAATATAAAGTAAATCATATATTAGATAATCAGTGTTCATAAAATCAAGTATTGTGTCTTAAAAATATTTAGTATTATCAAAAATCTAAAACAGTTCAGACATATAGTTGAAAACAGTAATGTAACACCAAC